AACAGATGGTGCTGGTCTAACTGGATGTCTACATGTAGAAAAATGCAAATAGATCCATATTTATAACTCTGCACTAAACTAAAGTGCAAGTCTATCAAAGACCTCAACATAAAACCAAATGCTCTAAATCTGTTAGAAGAAAAAATGGGGAAGAGCCTTGAACTCATTGACAAAGGAGACAACTTCCTGAACAGAACACTAACAGCACAGGCTCTAAGATGAACAATCAATAAATGGGACCTCATGAAACTAAAAAGCTTCTGTAAAGCAAAAGACACTATCAACAAAATAAAATGACAGCCTACAAACCAGGAAAAGATCTTCATCAACCCTACATCCGATAGAGGGCTAATATCCAGAATATATATAGAGCTCAAGAAATTAGACACCAAGAAACCAAATAATCCAAATAAAGAATGGGATACAGAGCTAAGCAGAGAATTCTCAACAGAGGACTATCAAATGGCAGAGAAACACTTAAAGAAATGCTCAACATCCTTAGTCATCACAGAAATGCAAATCAAAACAACCCTGAGATTTCACCTTACACCTATCAGAATGGCTAAGATAATAAATTCAAGTGATAACACATGCTGTAGAGGTTGTGGAGAAAGGCAAAACCTCCTCTGTTGCTGGTGGGAATGTGAACTTGTACAATCACTTTGGAAATCAATCTGGCATATTCTCAGAAAATTAGAAATATTGTTACCTCAAGATCCAGCTATACCACTCCTGGGCATACATCCAAAAGATGCCCCACCATTCAACTAAGAAATTTGCCCAACTATGTTCATAGCAGCTTTATTTGTAATAGCCAGAAGCTGGAAACAACCTAGATGTCTCTCAACGGCTTTTTTTTTTTTTTTTTTTTTTTTTATGTTTTTAACCTATCACAAAATTTGGAGTAACGGAAACATGACTGAAGAGTTAAAAAAAAAAAAAAAAAACACAAGAGTAAAAAATATCAACTTTAAAAAGGAAACATAAAAGCACAATACAGTGGATATTAGAAAGGCCAAAATGAAGCTCTCACCAATCACAAAGTGTCAATGAACATGCGATGAACTATGGATCAGAGAGATTTCAGGAAGAAGGAAAAAACACTCAGAACCAAGAATCAGTTAACTGCTTTAAAAGTCCAAACATTCATGTAGCACTTCAACACACAGCATGCAGTGCTTCTAGCAGCTGGTCCCCAGGAAAATTAGCCAAAAACTTCCTTTAGATCATAGAGTCTATGGGAAATAAACACTCTTTCAGGGAACTGTAACGCTTCTTAAGAAGAGAAGGCATGTCTGTGCTTTAATTCATTTAATCCTATTTGATGTTTCACTTCCATGTATGTCTGGGTGGATCCTTGAGTTGCAGACAGTTCTGCCTAGAGGCTGCTGGGAATTGAACCAGGGTTCTCTGGAAGAGCAGTCAGTGCTTTAAGCACTGAACCATCTCTCCAGCCCTGAGAAAACATGTCTTATTAAAGCCACCTGTGTCTCCCTGCCCAGTTCAGGAACATGGGAACATGACTCCACAGTAGTGAGTGAAGAAGAACAGAGCCATGAAGAACAGGGTCCCTTCTCACCTAGTTCCCTGGCAAGAGCCCCCTTCTTGGGAATCCGTACATGGCAACAAACATCATGCTGTCCCAGGGTGTCTAGCTCATGAGGAGTGTTCAGTCGCTGACTGCCTTACAAAGGCTGTTCTCAGAATTTGAACTCTGTCCTGAGGCTGAGCAAGCTTGGACCAGGACTGAAAGCTTTTCTCTACATTCTCCTCACCTAAAGCTTATTCTGGCTCTGTGTGTCACTCAGAGTAGACCTTTGCTCAGAGGCTTTACCCAAGTCAGTAGGCTCATGAAGCATCCTAGCTATGCGACCTCTCCAGCTGAATGGGTTGGAGGTGTGAATGGAGGCTCCCACATTTGAAGCATTCAACACTTTTGTCCAGTGAACTTTTTGCTGTATGTTTAGGGTACGTAACTACAGTAGATCCCACATTCACTGCACTTGTAGGACATTTATCAAATGTGAATCATCTGAGGTTTAGAAAAGCTAGTACTAGCAGGGCAGTGGTGGTATGCACGTTTGATCTCAGCACTTAGGAGGCAGAGGCAAGCGGATCTCTGAGTTTGAGGCCAATCTGGTCTGTAGAGTGAGTTCTGGAAACTCCCAAACATCTACTTGACCAAGGGCTAGGACTAATGGCTTGTACAACCTCACATGGAGCCTGCCCCATTTCATGCCTTCAGATAGGTTTCTGTGAACTAGGCTGGGTTCCACCTTTGTGGCTTAGGGTGAACTTGATATTCTGATCTGCCTGCTTTCACCTCCTAAATATATGGGCTACCACCTCTGGGTTACATGCTTCTGTGACTCAAACCCAGGACCATGTGTCTGCTACCCAAGCCCCCTACCAACTGAGCCACAGCCTCAGTATTCTCAAATTTCAACCTCATCATTATGTGAGCTTGTTTACATATTTTTTTAAATGTTTAGTTGGCTCAGCCGCTGCGAGTGCATTTTGTTCTTACAAAGGACATGGTAGAGGTTCAGCTCATCAGGAGTCTTACAATTGCTTGAATTGGATGGATGTCTATCTGTCTGTCTATGCACATGCCTTTTGTACCACTGATTGATACACAAACCATCTATCTTTGCAGAATTTTTACCATATATTTTAAATATTAAAGTGTAATATTTTGCACATGGGCTTTGATAATGAATTCAAGTTTATCTTTAGATCTCAGTCTCTCTGCTGGTTTTACAATATACTGACACACCTTATGCTTCATTTCCATTCTATTTTTAAATAAATCTTTTTGTTTGGTTGGTTGGTTTTTGTTTGTTTGTTTGGTTGGTTAGTTTGGGTTTTTTTTCAGACAAGGTTTCTCTGTGTAGCCTTAGCTGTCCTGGGCTCACTTTGTCGACCAGGCTGGCCTCAAACTCACAGCAATCTGCCTTCCTCTGCCTCCCTGAGTGCTGGTATTAAAGGCAGGCACCACCATGCCTGGCTTTCCATTCTCTTTTATTTCTTTCTTTTATACATCACAAGGCCTGTTTGTTGCTAAGCTTTGCCACATGTGTCTCATTTCCATTGCTATCACATGATCCACTTCCTGTCCTTAGGAAGCACTCAGATGTGGTAAACTCCAGCCTATACCAGGCAAAAATGCAAGGCTGCCACCATCTCACATCACACCAAAGGCAGGAGATCCTGTCCTTCAGTCTGGGAAAGCATGAATGGGCAAGAGTCTGTGCAGACACTACGAGATCCTGTGTCATATGCCTCTGTTCATAAGGTTAGTCATACTCCTTCTAGCAGGTATGAATATGGCTATACCTTCACAATTAGAAAATTCTCAGTTCTTTAGAGAAAAGACCTTAAATAAGCAAGTTGACAGAAACGTCTAAAGCTCAAGAGATCAAAGGAATCAGCTGGGAATGTTGGTACACATGTAATCTCAGTTCTCAAGAGACTGAGGGAGGAGAAGCAAGAACTTAAGGACATCCTGGTGTCAAAAGTGAGACCCTGTCACAAAATAAAAAAAGGAAAAACAGGGGGTTGGAGAAATGGCTCAGTGGTTAAGGGCACAGACTGCTCTTCCAGAGGACAAAGGTTCAAATTCCAGTACCCACACGGCAGCTCACAATTGTCTGTAACTCCAAGATCTAACACACTCATATAGACATACATGCTGGCAAAACACCAATGCTCATAAAACAAAAAAGGTAAATAAATTAAGTAAAAACATAGACTTTGGCATTTTTCATAGAAATATCAAAAACTTTCAAAGCAGTAACAGAAAACAAGTTTTCCTTTTTCTTTCTTTTTTTTCGGGGAGGGGATGGCTACTGCTGGGGACAGGTTCATAGTACTTAGCATTGGAATTCACTATGTGGACCAGGCTGCATTCAAACTCACAGATTCACCTGTCTCCGCCTTCTGAAGCATATGCCTCCATCCACCACCCACCCCAATGTAGGTTCTTTAGGAACCTTAATGTTTGTTCAATTGCTTGTTTATACACACAAAACAACAATCAGAATTTTAAAAAAGGAAACAGTAAAAGAAAATATGCCCAAGAAAGACGGGTGCCAGGTGTGGTGGCTGTATCACATGAGGATGTGACCCCTGAGGTGTGACTGAGGGAAAGGCTTTACTGTCGATATGAGGCAGAGCACAGCCAGAGGCACCAGGAAGAGTCCATATGGAGAGAGAAGGCAGTAGACTAAACATGGCGAGTAGAGTGGACTGGGCCATGAGAAGAGAGAGAGAGAGATCAAGAGAGGAGAGAGTAGAGAGGGGTCCAAGGGACAGAGAACCAAAATATCCAAGAGCCAAAAGAACCAAGAGGCAAGAGAACATATGGCTTAAATAGCAGGGTTATGTGGAAATCAGAAGCTGGGGAAGAGTGGAGGATAAGCTGGGGAACTTTAGAATGCAGAGTAGGGTGAAAGAGCAAAGAGCAGCCTGGAGAGCAGCAAGAATTCTGTAAGAGGTACACTGAGAAACTCCCAGGCCCACATGTGTTTTGATATGCTAACAGGCACTACAAGTAGCCTTTTGTCCCCAGTTACTTGCTTCCCCTCCCCATGCTCCAACCTCAGACAGGGTTTCTTTGTATAGCCTTGTCTGTTCTGGTCCTGGACTCACTTTGTAGACCAGGCTGGCCTCAAACTCACATCAAACCACCAGCCTCTGCCTCCCTGAGTGCTGGGATTAAAGGAGTGCATTACCATGCCCAGCTTGGCCCCAATTTCTTTTGGTCCTGGGAGTGGCACATGACTTAAAGACCAGCTCCAGAGGTACTGAGTTCAATTCCCAACAACCACATGGTGGCTCACAACCATCTATACCCTCTACTGCCCTCTTCTGGCATGCAGGTGTACATGCACATAGAGCATTCAAAATAAATAAATAAAATGTGAAAAAAAAAAAAAAAAAGAGTTCCAAGCCTATACAATAAGACTGTGTCTAAACAAAGAACAAAGAAAACAGTGACAAGAATAGAGAACTGGCTAACTGGCTAACAGCACTTACTGTTCTTGCAAATAAACTTGGTTTAATTCCAAGCACAGAGGTTCACAATGATCTGGAACTCCAGTTCCAGTAACTCTGATGGTAACTCCAAAGTATACATAACACAAACTCACAAAAGTAAATAAATCCCTACAATAATATATGAAGATAATGCAAAATTAAAACCCCAATTATATGCTACAGTTGTTGTTCTTTATTTAGTTGTTGTAGTGTTGTTCTTTTTGGTTTTTTGAGACAGGTTATCTCTAGGTCCTGGCTGTCCTGGAACTAGTTATGTAAACCAGGCTGGCCTTGAACTCACAGACATCCAGCTGCCTCTGCCTCCTGAGTGCTGATATTAAAGGCCTGTGCCACCCAGGCCCACATAATTATTACCATTGTTAAGATGAACACCTCATGACTTAGAATGTGTCAGGATGTGAGGGACTGGTACCTGATACACTCCAGAAGGAAAGCTGAAACACACAGCCACTTAGAACAAAATCTGATAACTTCTTAAAAACTTAAAACATGGTCTCGAGAGAGGGCTCACTGTGAAAGACTACAAGCTGCTCCTGCAGAGGACCTAGGTTCTATTCACCGTGAACACTGCCGTTCATAACCATCCGTAACTCCCATTCCAGGGATCCAATGCCTTTTTGGGCCTTATAGGCCTCAGTTATGAACTTTATATACATACATATGTGCAGCCAAAATACCCACACATTAAAAAAACAAACAAACAAACACCTAAAACATATAGACTGCACTCCTACATGAGGGCATAAGATGCTACACAGAGCTGGTCCTCTACAGATTGAGGGACACATGGGAACATGATGGTCATGAAGACTATACAGCAAACAATCATTTAGTCCAGGATCTGCAATATTCAGTGAAAAGAAAAAAAAAAGTCTTATTTAAAATCCAAAGACATTTTGATCCTCTCCCATTCAAGCTCAGTAACATGGAAATTCTACTCCATGCTGGTGCAGTCAAGAACACTGGGCCTCCTCTTGCTAAGCTCCCCAGAAAGTATTAACTTCTCGGGAATAAGAAAACGGCAACAACCCCTCATCTTGTCCCAGTGTTCTTATTTGACGAGTACCTTTCAATGACTGGCTCCCTCAAAAAGGCTACTCTCAGGACTTCTGACTTTGAAAAAGGTTGGCCAATGGCTGAAGCTTTCTCTACATTCACAAACCTATCTGGGTTTTACATGTGTTGCTAATGGGAGCAGACTATTGCACAAAGGCGTCCCCACTCTCAATGGGTTCCTGATGCACCCCCGCACTGTGGCCTCTTCAGTTAAACAGGACAGAAGTGTGGGTGAAGGCTCCCCAATTTAGAGGCATTCTTGTGGCATAGGACAGACCACTGAAACAATTTCTTAGGTTCACTGCACCCAATACACATATTCTATCCAGTGTGAATCATTTGGTGTCCGCAAAGTCCAGTCCTGCAGCAAAACACTTTCCCACATTCCCTGCATTCCTGATGCTTAGCTGTAGTGTTGTGTCTCTCATGCTTAATGAGGCTGTTACTCACAGTAAAGACTCTTCCACACACATTAAATGTAAAAGTTTTCCTCTGCTACTAACTTATTGGTCTTTCAGAGGTGACAATTTTTCTGTTTTTTTTTTCTTTTAACACTGCCCAGATTGCCCAGACTTATGACATTCAAAAGGCCTTTCCCCAGTCTGAGTCACACACGATAAACAAGGCTGTATTTTTTTTTTCTGAAATGCTTTTCCACATTCTCTGCACTTCTACGGCTTTTCTCCAGTGTGAACTCGAAAATGATACAAAAGGCTGGATCTGTTCATGTACGCCTTCCCACATTCACTGCATGTGAAAGGCGTTTCTCCTGTGTGAACTCGCTGATGAGCAACCAGGAAGCAGTTATGCTTGAAAGTTTTGCCACATTCACTACACCTGAAAGGCTTTTCTCCGGTGTGAACTCTGAAATGCTTAACAAGAAAGGCCTTTTGGCTGAAGGATTTACCACATTCACTGCACTCAAAAGGCCTTTCCCGAGTGTGCACTCGGGCATGATAAACGAGGCTGGACTTTTCCTTAAACGCTTTTCCACATTCGCTACAATTATAAGGCTTCTCTGCATTATGAACTTGAAAATGGCGTGTAAGGTTGGATCTGGTCATATAGGATTTGCCACATTCACTGCACGTAAAAGGTGTTTCTCCTGTGTGAACTCGCTGATGAGAAACAAGGGAGATATTATGCTTGAAAGCTTTGCCACATTCACTACACCTATAGGGCTTTTCTCCAGTGTGCATTCTGAAATGCTTAACGAGAAAGGCTTTTTGGCTGAAGGACATCCCACATTCACTGCACTGAAAAGGCTTTTCTCCGGTGTGTATCATTCGGTGCCGATTAAGGTGAGAAGTGCTGGTAAAAGTTTTGCCACAGTCACCGCATATGCAGTTCTTCTTCTCTCCCTGCACAGCCTCTCCACTCTCGGTGCTCTTGGGTGGCTCCCCCACAGTGTAAGTCACCTGATGCCTGAGAAGACCTGAGGGGGTCTGGAGGATCGTCACATTGTCTGTGCTTAGTAAGGGGGTCTCAGCACAGCTCAGCATCTGCTGTTGGAGCCTGGATGAAGTAAGATCTCCTTCTGCAGACCGACTGTGCTCCAAAGGGGACGGCTCACCCTCCACTTTGATCCAACAACCTGAGCAGAGAGAAATACTGATGTAGACTGTCATGACAGAGAGCACACATTACCAACAGTGATCTTATTTCTCACACAAGAAGGGGGCTTGTTCATGGAGGGAAGGGTCCATCGCCATGATGAATTTGTCAAGTTCATAGGTTCTAGAAACCTTAGGGGCAGCAAGAACACAAGAAAGCAGTGAATCATAGGGAGGAGTGCTAGGAACCATAACCCTGCCCTCAGCAAATGGCTTTCTGCAAGCCTCAGCTGCTGGAGATGCAGGACACAGAGCAGAAGGCTGTCAAGCCCATAAGACACAGCACCTGAAGACTCCCCGTTCCAGGACCGTCCTGGGTATAGTGCACACTAACACAATAAAGGACGACCTGTGTTTCACAGTGTTGCACGGGAACAGGCCAACATACCTGTCCATAAACACGGAGTCAGGAATCTCAGTGCAGGCACAGAGAGATCTCCACAAGACTCCAGATGGCTGATGTCATGAATCCCAGAAGGTATAAGTCCTAAAGTAAAATGAAACATGAAATGAGAGTTCTGTACTAGGACTGAGAGATGCAACCCAAACAACCGATTGGAAAAAAGCCTAATTAGAATCCTGGTAAGAGTGTCTTGCAAAACAAAACAAAACATACACCCCAATAGTGAACTTATCAGTCCCACATTGCCTGCCCCAGGCAGACACAGCCTATGTCGCCTAGAAGTACCCCAGTCACAACAATGCCAAGTATTTACAGTATCATCAGGTCACAGAGAAGCCACCACTGTTAAGATTCCTGACTCTAGGCCAGGAGTGGTTGTGCAAGACACTAATCACAGCACTCAGGAAACACAGCAGGAACATCTTGGCAAGTTAATTGGGAGCCAGGTCTACATAGAGAGTCAGCACAGCTCAGGCTCAATAGATAGACCTTATCTCAAACTACCTCCAATGCACAAAAAATCCTAACCCCAAATTGATTCCAGTGTGCCTTTCTGCAAATGAGAATCAGGGCTGTGGTGAATCAAGTCTCTATTTTTAACCTGTATTTTATACAGTGGAAGAAAGATTCAGTGTTCACAGGACAGCATTGAGAGGGATATGGATCTCTAGAAAACAGGAAAGCCTATATGCTCTAGCAAGATGGGGCCCTTACCCAGCGAAGACACGAGTGTGAAGGCCTCCGTCATCACAGTCTGGTACAGGAGCCTTTGAGAGTCATCAAGTAGTGTCCATTCCTCCCAGGAGAAGTACACAGCCACATCCTCAAAGGACACACAGCCCTGCACAATGGGGGAAAGTTGAGTTTATATGAAGCCTGCCTGTCAGGGACTCTTGCCATCCCCAAGACAGTCGCTCCCACTTAGCTTCCTACCTCAGAGGGTACCAGGTTCTGAAGCTATTGACACCCAGTCTGTCTTCAAGGTCCCACCAACCACTCTGTTCAGCACTCAGCAAAAGCAGGCAAGTGGACATGGTGGCTTAGTTACTTCACTATGACTGTGAAGAGACACCATGACCAAGGCACCTTATAGAACAAAGAGCTTATTGGGGCTTATACTTCAGAGGGTGAGTCCATGCCCCTCATGGCAGCAGGTGTGCATGGCACTGGAGCAGTAGCTGAGAACTTACAACCTGATACACAGGTACCAGGCAGAAAGAAAGCTAACTGGGAATGGTCAGGGCTTTTGAAACCTACAAGCCCACCCCCATTGACACACCTCCTTCAAAAAGGCCATACTGTGAACCTACGGTGACGGGGGGGGGGCATGTTCACTGAAGCCACCACAGCTGCAGTCAATCCAAGCTGGAAGGATGCCATGCAATGTACCTTCTTTCTATCAGAGAATTCACATGGGCCTCTCCCAATCATCTGACTCACACAGACCATTTTGGGGTCACTGTTGTCCACTATGTCCATGGCACAAACGCCAGGAAGCCATCGGCACACACATCGGTCTTCTCACTGAGCCTCCATTTCCATCTCAGCATGCAGGCCCAGCCTTCAGCTACTGTGCTCCCCCAACTCCTGCCTTGCACTAAAGCCAGCAGTCCATGTACACCTGAGGGTTTCTCAGCATTCCCAACCCACCTCACTTCCAGGCATCCTCTCCTGTCATCACTGGAACTTTAAGTCCTCTGAATCTTAAGCCACTAGTTGATATAAATGGAAACCCGGCCATGGAATCCCTGCTGTGGATGTGGGGACCTTTCATTCTCAGCGCATGCCAGGGAAATTCAATGGAAGGACAGAGAGAATCCCAAGCAAAGAGTCCCAGGACACCATAATCTCAGAGGTCACTTATGTGAAAACTGAGGAGTGTGATTCCTGGGCATCCCCACTTACCTCTTCCTGGTTGGCAGGTTTCATTGAATACTGGGAAACCTGTAGAAAAACAAGGCTGTGAGCAACAAGCAAGGGTGTTGGTGTCTCAAAGGTTCATCCAAGTCCCCTCTCATACATGCAGTCAGGTACACCCAACTGAACCCTGGGCTCTGTCCCTTCCTGGATGCTCTTAGGCAAAAATATCAATCTCCTCAGTTTGTTATCTGAGGTTAAGAATGGCAGCCTGTCTTATTTACTATTCCATTGCTGTGAAGGGACCCCTGACCAAGGCAGCCCTTATAATATAAAAGAAGCATTTAACTGGGGGCTACCTTACAGTTTTGGAGTGTTAGTGCATTGTAGAAGGAATCTCTTAGTCTGTATGGAAGCATCTCTGTCAATAAAAAGCTAATTGCCTCTTAGCTGATGTAGGAAATAAGGAGCTGGGAGTTCTAGGAAGAGAGAGAGATGAACTCTGGGACATAGTCAGAGGTGGGAGACTCACTGTGGAATTCAGAAGATGGACATATGAAACTGAGAAGAGTTAACCAGCCACATGGCAGAACTTAGAATAGAATAAATGAGATATCAGTTATGAGCAAGTCAAGGAACATGCCAAGTTATATTGGCCTAGGCTTTTGTAAATATGTTTAAGTCTAAGAGTTATTTCTGGGTGAAAAACACAGGTAAGGGAAAACTACCATCTACAGTCCATGATCATCCTATTGGAAAGTAGACAGGCATGACACTGTCTACTTTACATTCTGGTCTACAGACAACATGCAGCAACACACACACACACACACACACACACACACACACACACACACACTGCATCTGGTGTGGGCTTCTGACACCTCAAAGTTCACCCTGTTGCACCCTTCCTCCAATAGTACCATAGCTCCTAATCCTTTTAATCCTTCTCAAACAGTTCCACGCCCTGGTGAGTAAGCATTCAAATGTTTGCCCTTATGGGAGTCATTCTCATTCAAACCAACACAGTTTCCTTACTCCAAAAAGGGAACCATAGTATCAAACTCAGTCCTACGTATTAAGTTCTTAGTATACACTTTTTCAGTGAACATCATTAATGCTTCTGTCAAAAGCTTCACAAACACACATTTCCAAAATGTGTAGTTCTATCTACCCACATTTAAGTAAGACTTTGGTATTAGCCAAGTATGACTGTGCAGGCTTTTATGCAATAATCGCAAGGCAAAAGCAGGCAGACCTATGTGTATCTGAAGCCAACACGGGCCTCACAGGCCAGCTAGAGTCACATGGTCATTTCAGTTGAGGGAAGGGGAAGTGATAGCTAACACGGTAGACTTAACCCAAATGCTGAATGCCACCACAGGACTGTAAAGCACTTGGAATAGTATTTTTTTTATCCATGCCCTTCAGAAACACTTCCCCTAGGGTCAATTTATTTATTTATTTTTATTTAGTTTTTCTTCACAGCTACACTTGCTGCTCAGCAGCAAGTTCTGATGGCTGAGTTTTCAAAATTCATTGGCAGTTCAGGAGAGTTGGCTCAACTGTTGAGGGCCCTTTCTCCTGTTACAGACAACCAGAGCTCAGTTGGCAGCCCTTACCCCAAAGGAGAACCCACTGGAAGGAAGAGTTCTGTGAATTCAAGGCCAGTCTGGGTCGAAACAGTGAATTCCAGCCAATATTTTAAAAATAAAAAGTGAAGAAAAGTTCTTTAATCTCATCACTCAAAAGTTAGAGGTAAAAGGATTTGAGTGTGAGGACAGCCTGGTATACTAGAGTTCCAAAACAGCCAGGACTACATAGAGAGACCCTGCCTTGGAGGGGTGGCAAAGAGGGAGGGAGAGATAGAGGAAAAGAATAAAAGAAATCCATCAAAGATACGAACACCCTCACGCCCTCTCTACTCCACGCTCAAACCCGTGCCTGAGTCCACAGGATTTACCCATGGAGTCACGGCCCTGTCTGCACCCGCATTACCCACCGCATCCTGATGTTTCCCGGGGACTCCGGGAAAACTTAATAGACAGACCTCTCCTCTGTTCAAATCTTCCATGGCCAGCACCGTCTCCAAAGACAAAACTCAGCTTCTTAGGAGCACTGAGCCCTTTCCCCCATCTAAGGCCAGCAGGGGTCACTCCAGGGCTGCCATCTCTGAGCTCCGGCCCGCCCACAAGCCTGGGGAGGTACAATCCACCAGACGCTGTGAGTCAGAAAGGATCATTCTCTAGCACACAGATGTCAAAACCATAATCTCGTCCACCGATGTCCTACACCCGGGGACACGAGGGCCTGCCCTGCTGGCTCCCGATCCAGATCTCAGCGCTCTAGAATTCAGGGAGGTGGGCGATCAGGAGTCACTCACCTGGGGCAGGGCTCCACCCGCAGCCTCCACAATCACCATGGGGCTCCACAGCATGGTGGGGCCCTGGGACGTGGCCATCCCTGCTCGAAGCCTGGATCAGACCCCTCAGGTCGTCGCAAACGTCAGATCCGTTTCCCTGATGGAGGACAAACGCTTCTAACTCTCCCGTTTTCCTGCCATAACCAATACTGACGAAGCCAGTTTTCTGCCAGACTGACAGATCCAGAAAGTTTCAAAGAACCTCCTGCAAGCAAAGCCGAAAGTCCCGCCCAGCGTCCTTTTGTCGTCACCAAATCTCCTCTTTTCATTGGCTAATCTTGGTGCAGTGTCTTCTGGCCAATGTAGTTCGGACAGAATCAAGCACCAGGAAGTGGACAAACCTGCCCAGATGGAGCAGAAGACTCAAGTCTGATAGGGAGATTTGTAATTATAGATGTGCCAATATTTCCTTGAGCTACAAGGCCGGGCTTGCTGACCGTCTCCTAAATTACAGAACTGCAGGCAGAGCCAGGTGGGTTTCTGGGATTAGAAGCCAGCCTGTCATAGTGCGTTTCAGGCCAGGCAGGGAACATTAGGGAGAGTCCAGATTGAACATGGCCCTGAGCCAGTCCATGGGAGGACAGAGGTCAGGAAAATGGGCGAGAAGCCACCAACCAAGAGGGGCGGCCTGGGCTAAGAGACTAGCATAGGCAAAAACCGCTGAGTTATATAGGCCAGAAGAGCTGGAGAGTTCAGAGTAGGGGTCATGTACTGCAGCCAGGAGCCTCCTGTAACAAGTAGAGACACAGAGGGATCCTGGGAGAACTTGGCAGCCAGTGTCAGCTTTGACATGTTAATAGACATCTCAGCCTTTATCTTTGTGTGAAGGGTTCTTGCTGTGGTCCTTTTGTAAATAAAATGAAAGAATTATGAGGAGAAAGGAAGAAGGGACATATTTGGACATATTCTTTCACCACTGATCTCTAGAATTCAAACTCTCCCCATTTTTACACACCAGATATTGTGCTATCACAAGTAACTTTTCTATTGTGCATCTGTGCTAAGGGAATTTGGGGTTGCATAACGGTGTTCAGCGCAGGAAAGTGCCACCTTACTGTGTCATTAAGGATAAGCTTCAGAGGAAAAGACTCCAGCAAAAGCTTCCCGGGAAATCAGGAATACTGGTGCATATGTAACTATGACTTTGTCTACAAAGAGTCCATTTAACTCCTTATGCACGGATCCTCCTCCACCTTCTCTTTCTGCAACTGCCCTGGTTTCTATGGCAGCTGTCTGAACTACATTACCCAGAACAGACTGTGCAGAAAGACAGGAAAGTGGGCCGGAGGCATTGGTGCATGCATGCCTTAAATCCCAGTGGATCTTTGAGTTTGTGGCTAGTTTGGTCTATGGTCTAGTTCAGCCAAAGTTTCCTAGAGAAACCCTGATTGGAAATAAAGAAGAAAGCGAAAAGGTTTCGAGAGATGGCACCTAGACAGGTCTGAAATCTACACCATTATTGTGTGATTGGTTCTAAGCCTTGGGTAAGAACCTCCCTGTTCATGTCCCTCTCTGGGCAGCCCAGTCAACTGGCCTGGGGACTCTGAATGGAGTGACACATGTCCCCTGGCCTACTTGATTATGTCAGTACCCTGAAGTCTAGGTCCTGAACCTAGGCAGAGGGCTAATGTCCCTGATAGTGAATCGGTCTTGCAGGATTCCCTTGTTTGTTTGCTTGTTTATTTTTTATTTTTATTTATTTATTTTTTTTGAGATAGGCTTTCTCTATGTATCCTTGGCGGTCCTGGACTCACTTTGTAGACCAGGCTGGCCTCGAACTCACAGTGATTCTCCTGCCTCTGGCTCCCTGAGTGCCAGGATCACAGGCGTGTACCACCATGCCTGACTATATTTTTTTAATTAAAATTTTATTTTTTATATTAATTACAGTTTATTTACTTTGTATCCCAGCTATAGCCCCCTCTGACTAGATTTTTACCTACTAATTTTACTCTTAAAGATTGCATTTGCAGCCTATTGATGGTGGCCCACACTTTTAATCCCAGCACTCCAGTTCAGAGGCAGGCAGATCTCCAAGTTCAAGGACAGCCTGGTCTACAGAGCAAGTTTCAGGACAGGCAGGATTACACAGAGAAACCCTGTCCAAAAAGCAATAAAGGAAGAAAGAATAGAAAGGAAAGAAAGAAAGGAAAGAAAGAAAGAAAGAAAGAAAGAAAGAAAGAAAGAAAGGAAGAAAGAAAGAAAGAGGAGGGGAGGGGAGGAGAGGAAAGGGAGAGAAAGAGGAAGGGAGGGAGCCAGGGAGGGAGGGGGTGGCAAGCACCAAAGCAAAAAGATCTAGTTCTAATCTTATTTTGATATGAAGACAATACATTCATGAGCTTTTACTCACTTAAAAAAAAAAAAAAAACGTGTGTGTGTGTGTGTGTGTGTGTGTGTGTGTGTGTGTTTGTGTCTGTATGTCCCTGAAATTGTGAAAGTCAGAGGTACAGCTTGCAAATGTCAGCTTTCTCCTTCCACCATGTGGATTCAGATGGTTATACTTAAATTTATACTTAAATAGTGGCTTTCCCCCTTTAGCCATGTCACTTCCTCTGGATTCCTATTTAGACAAGATCCGTGGTTTTCAACCTTCCTCATACTGTGCTCCTTTAACACAGTTCCTCATATTGTGGTGATCCCAATCATAAAGTTATTTTCATTGCTACTCATAAATGTAATTTTGCTACTTTTATGAACCGTAATGCAAATATTTGTGTTTTCCCATGGTCTTAGGTGACCCCTGTGACAGGTTCATTCGACCACCCCAAAGGAGTTGGAACCCATAGGTTTAGAACCACTGTGCTAGGGTGTTACACTCTCTACAGTAATTTTATTTTTGTTTGGTGTTTTGTTGTTTTTGTTGTTGTTTGAGACAGAGTCTCTATGCAGCCGTAGCATCCTGGACCTCACTCGTAGACCAGGTTAGCCTTGAATTCAGAGATCTGGTGGGGCTTAGTTGATTTTGTTTGGGATTTTGTGTGTATGTGTATGTTTGTGTGCCTGTAACTGCAGGGTGTGGTAAATATCTAGAATGCTGAGAATGCACCCAAACCCAGCTGCACTTGATGCTCTTGCAAAGGACCCAGGTTCAGTTTCCAACGTCCACTTGGGACACACACCGTTTGTCACTACAGTTCCATGGCATCTGATACCTTTTTTCTGGCCTCCATAGACCCTCCATGCATGTGCTGCATATGCATACATGCAGGCTGACACCCAAACATATAATACTATTTTTTAAACACACCTGAGCAGTAGTCTCAGCGGCTGGACCTTGTATACCAAGATGAAGTAGAGGTGCAGGACAAGAGAGATGTGCATGTTGACAGGGAGTGTGTGCTTCGACTCGACGGTCTTCGAGAGCAGTTACTGAAATCTGGTTATACTTGGGAAGCGTGAGGTAGAGGGCTTTATGTGACTTAGCTGGTTGAGAGGAGTGACTCTGATGGAATCTGTTTATTCACTTTACTTTTGTTGCTCCCTGTTGAACACAATGGTCAGTGGGACCTTATGAAGAAAGGTATCAATATTCCCAGGGCCTGGTACACTCAGAGATAAGGTAAGCTTTAATGTCTGTTTAGCAACCATGATACATGGAGTTTAAATCCCAGTGCCCACATAACAAACTTGGCTTCATCTAAACCTGTTACTCCAGTTCTGAAGGATCTGAAACCTTGTTCTCTCTCGCATTATTCAAATGCAAACTCAGAGGTACAAAAATGGGCACAAACAAATCAGCTCATTGATAAATCAGTAAACAAAATACTTTAAGGCTGTTCCAACATAATGGTGATGTCAAAACCTACTGAAAGTGGCTGGAATGGTAGAATGAACTGGTAGAATGTTTGCCTCATAAGGATATAGCTCACTTAGAGTTTGAGCTATGTCAACACCAATCCTAAGAAGAGGCCCACTGCTGGAGATTGGTCTGGTGCTCTGTGTATTCAGATGCTAAATTCTGGGCCCCAAGATCTGGTTCCATGGGCTCTGTCAACAGCAACCCTAAGTAGTGATGTACACACTCAAGAAGTGGAGGTAGTGCATCAGAGGTTCAGTCTTCCTTAGATACATAGCAAATTAGATAGACCTAAGGCTCCATGTGACTTTGTCTGAAACCAGCAACTAAACACACTCATGGGGAAAGGTAAAGAGGAGATTAAGAAAGAGTACAAGGGTGTTAGGAGCCTGAGGTTCTTGTACACTGTGATCTCCAGGAAAAACAAGATTAAGCACCCAGGACTGTTCTTTCAAAGGGTAGGGCATATAACCTGATTTTCCAGAAAGTTGGAAACTGGAAGTAATTAATAGCTTGATGATCTGAGTTATCTGTTGGGCTAGGCCATATCAAGTTCCTACACCCAGGACTAGGGGTGGCTAATAGCCCAAATGACCTCTATACTATCTGTATGATGAAGGCCAGGCCAGAGCCTTCCTAGGCCCTTAAGCTAATACAGGTACCCTATCCTTAGAACACATCTTCTTGGAAGAGATGACACTACCTTGAATCAAGCTCCGATTTAATTACACTTCCTGGGGATTGTATTACATCAGGAGAACTTTTTTACAAATTATAGTGTTTAAATTTGATGAGAATGAACAGCCTGTGCTGAGGATTCCCCAGCATGGAGAGTAGGAGGGTCTTTGCTGACAGGGTTGCCTGCAGAGGAGATAAGGTATTGGCAATGGGAGGGAGTCAGGCAATGGTCAGGGGAACTTGGCAGTCAGGCTGCCTCTGAGGCTCTGACTTCTAGTAACCAGGTGCTTCTTTTTTTATACAAGTTTCATAGAACAAAGACAGACTAATAATTTGCCAAGTGGTACAGAGTTGGTACGTGGTTTTTCATTACATATTCAGGGCTACAAGTTCAGTTACAATTAGAAAATACAAACAGAACAGATATTATTATTATTATTATTATTATTATTATTATTATTATCCCTATGGCTCCAACTTAAAGAATCTAAAGAATGCTCCTCCAAAGCAAGCACATTTAATATATGACAACCTGCTTTCAGGCTGCCAATGTCTGCTATTTGAGAGTACTCCAGACAAACAGAAAATAGCTAAATAGGGCTTTTTATGAAAGGAAATACTAATACTTATTTTACTGTATGTTTCATCAGCTATGCTATAAGGTAAAAAAGTTTATTTTCGTCAATCTA